TCATCCTCCCCTGCAGCTATATTGCCCCAGTCCATGAAACCTTCCTTTAATTTTACAAACCAGAATATGTCTTTTCACTGACTCCTTCCAGCAGTTTTTATCTCTAAAGTTACATACTCACATACATGCTTCACACATCCCACTAAGTTGTGAGTTCTTTGATGGAAAGGCTATGAGTTTTATTCTTATCTCCATATACTATAGCACCTAAGTTGTGCCCAAAATATAGTCAGCACTCAAATAGTTCTTGACAAGCTGCAGAAGAATAAAGAACTCGAGTTCCAAAGGATCAATGTACAAGTACTGTTAGTAAGGGACCAAAGTTTAAACAGTTCCAAACACCTGCTGAATGCAGAGTGCTGATGGCCTTGCCCACTATCAAAAGCTCTAAACCAGGGTGCTTGCAAACCAAAATTAAGGTCAGTCCAAAAGTGGGAACAAAAATTAGTCTGCCCATTGGGGAAAACATAAATTCATATGGAAGGGGTTGTGATACGGAAATTATGCATTTTAGTGAATGTTAGTGAGACAAGTACATTTCCTTAGGAGAATGAATTCGAATTCTACTAGAATTCAACTTCACTGCAAATTCCATTCAACTGTTGTGTTCCTTTTAAAAGGATACTACTATTCATGATGGGCTATCTCAAGGCCAGGGAGAATATGCTGTTATACGGAAGAAAGCAAAAACAGGTCATATAATTTTTAACAAAGCCATCAGTTTTTTTGTTTCTTGTTTTTTGCCTGCTCTGCTCCCCACTCTGTCTCTGGTGAATCTTCTTACTGCCTTTGCTCTTCTGGCCTATGTCCCAGTTCTGAATGCAAAACCATCAGTTTTTAATGAAAATGGAGGTATATTCCCAAGAGGTCTTCAGAAATGGTAGTCTACCTTTTATTTAGGCTCAAAACATAATGAATATCGTTGACTTGTAATTTTATCATGCCAATTTTCTTATTATCAAGAGTTGTTACAAGTTATAGGTGATCGATTTTCATGAAACAAAATCATGTGAACAGTTAGGCAATCTTCTCCTTTTTAAGAATATTTCCATTTTCACACCTGCTCTGCTTAAAAAACTTCATTAACAGAATTATTTATGGGAAGACTTTAGTAGACAGTTACAATTCACTAGTTTACATATTCCCTCACTCACACATTTAATACTTGAGACTGACAGGGAGCAGGATGTGCAAGTAAACTGGGGAGCACTTAACAATTACACAAAAAGAGAAAATCTGTAGACTTCTGGTAAAAAGTTAAGGTGGGAAGGTGAAATCTGGGGTCAGATGATAAAATATGAAGTTAAAATTCAATATTCCTTAGCAACTCTTCACTCTCTGGTTGTCATTTTTCAATTATACTCTCTGCCGATACAATTAGAAAACATGATATAAAACAGAAAAAAATGTATTTTGAAACTTTAAAGGATTAGTTCCGACTACAAGGACTTACGCTTTAAAAAAAAAACAGATGCAAATGTAAGCGACCTATAACTTCTTATTAATCAAAATGCTGTTGGTAACACCCCACGCTAGTTAGAAAGATGGCTGAGTGAGATTGGGCTCAATCACTCAAACTGATGGCATGATAGTAAGAGCTCTTCATCTACTGCTCCTGTCCAGGTCTGTAATGCGACATGAAAACTTGCAATCTTGTTCTGACAGCATTTCCCCAACAATTATTCTAACTGGTACTTTATTCACTGTAATGCAATAAAAAGAGTGGCTGACCAGGAGCTAGAAGACTTGAATTCGCATTGCCACTCGGTAACATGTCTTTTATTACCACTTCAATTTATACCTTCTGAGAGACTCAGTTTCCTATCCTGTTAACTAGTCTCCACACTGGATGATTCTGCTGCCACAGAAAACCATGGAAATGCTAACTCTTCTCCCTCAGAATAGCCCAACTTCAGATTCCATTTAGATTTTAAGAGCAAAAAGAAATGGCACAGTTCAAGTGAACTGTCCTATATTGCCTAATTGAGATAAAAGAAAAATAACTCAAATGGACAGCCTAATTTGAATCTTTACTGTTGAGCCAAATCACTCATCCTCTCTGTAACGCAGTCTCCATATCACTCAAATAACATCTATCCTATTGATATGTTGGTTTTGTTATGAAGGCAGGCAACAGTAAAATATGAAAGTATTCTAAAGACTATAAAACATTATTTTAACCAGATTTGTAACAAAATCATTACAACAATATTATCAAAGTGCCACTTGGGTTTCTTTTTAACTAATAAGCCACTGGACAGAATGGAAGAATCTTAAAAGAGGATGTACTTCTTGTCCACAATGCCATACCCTAAAGAGCACACCACGAAAAACCCAGTAGTACTCCTTAAGAGAAGATATTTTTAAAGAGTTACTGAAGTCACATGGTTTTTGTGCCTCTTGCCCCATGCTATTAGCTATGCCTTTTTATAGAATGAAAAACAATTTAAAACAGAGCATTGATCTAGTGAAAGTAATAGTACATACATAGTACTCTCCA